TAAACTGCCCAATTATAATTAATTTCGGAATCGTATTTACAAAATATTAAAACTATTATAACTCAAAAATACAACGGCGATTTGTGGACTTGAATGTGTAATAAAGTATAAATTATTTTTCCGACTTGTGACAATTTTTTCGTGAGTACGAAAATAAGAATCAAAAATTAATTATATTCGGGCACAATATCACGGCATTCTGTGGACATAAATTGCGAGGCAAACTCGCGATTGATATTAATTTTTGATTCCTATTTTCGTATTTACAAAATACAACGTTGATCTGTGGACATTGAATGTGTGGTAAACTACCCGATTATAAATAGTTTTCGTATTTATAAAATAATAAAAGTATTATTACACAAACATACAACGGCGATCTGCGGACTTAAAATGTGTGGTAAAGTTCCCGAATATAATTACTTTTTGATTCGTATTTTTGTACTCACGAAAAAATTGTCACAAGTCTGAAAAAGAACTCATACTTTATCCCGCTTTTTGACAAATAATTTGGATAATGGTTGGTATTTAAAAGTATGGGCGTTTTACTAGGATGATTTTGTGTTGCGCAAGCATTCAAATCCATCACCGATACCACTATTTAAAATGCCTTGTCGTATTATTTTAATTCTGTTAATTAACACTACTGATGTTATATAAAATATATATCGCAATAATCTGCAAACATGAAATGCCTGGTAATATAGCCAGGTTGTAAATAGAAGTTTTCCCATTGTTTATTGTATGAAAATTCCTTCATACACTTAGATTATATTACTGGATTTTAATTTCGAAGTATTCGAAATTTCATATTCGAAAATAATAATTTCGAATGTATTCGAAATAGTGAACTATTCGGTATTGGCCATCCCTGACAGTACACAACTAGGCTGAAATGAAAGTGATCTAAAAACTGATGTGCTGATAAACAAAAAAAAACATTAGATTATATTTAATGAATGCTTGCCAGTTTAATCCAAACTCAGACCTTGTTCTGATCTAAAATGACATAAAATTATGTGGTGTCGGATAGTTACAGACTATTTAAGACTATCCCCATAACCACTGTCTTTTAAATTTCACATTGTGACATAGAAACCATTTAATCAGCAACTACATATATGTACCGGAATCTGAGAGCAATATTAGGTATGCAACCTTTGTGACAAATTGTCCCCAATAAACATGTCATTGAACTATCCCATTATCACCAAAATATTACTAGCAATAGATGAACAATTCCAAATCTACAAACCTATCAAAGCCAAATCCTTTCTTTCCTCCTGCATACAAATCTGGATCAAAATTTCCTGTAGGACATGCGATTTTTTCAGTTTTTTCTCCCATGCGAGTACGACCAACACTGGATAATTGTGTCTGGAATATAACAAACAAAAAATTAAAAAAATAACTGCACGAAAAATGTTCAATATTCTGCATAAAGTGAAAACACAGTGACCCAAAAAAGCAAAATTCTGGTCATTTTGGACCATATTCCAGAGCAGTTGTTCTCAAACAGTGGGAAACCCCCCACACGGGGAGCTCATTAAAAATAAAAATATTTGTTTGCACGTCTTTTTTTTGATATTCACATTTCTTTAATTTGGATATTTACGTTCCATCCACATATTTTCGAAGTGTTTTTTGAATAAAACATACTTTCGCCTTACTATCTGTTATTGTTAGCTAGCTAATTTTGAGCAGGGGCACGAGACTTGACAAATTCCAAAAAGGGGGCGCAGGCTTAAAACGTTTGAAAACCACTGTTCCAGAGAGAGCATGAGTTTTGTGCAAAGCGCCCTAGATTACAGAAACTTTAGGGTACCATCATACACAAACAGAACTTCAAGCGTTTAATGAGTTTCTTTCATTTTCATAGATTATCGTAAGTAACTATGGAATAATCTGTTTTTTGGGGTCACCTTTCACAAAGTTATCTAGTTATAAAAATTCCGTATATTTCATCATGTTAACCTCATTCAGCCATGTTTTTCAATTTAATCAAAATAAAGAACACAAGCGCACAAGGTGATCAAAAACTTCTATACCTTTTGAAAATCATCATGATGTTTCTTGAATGCTTTCAAATCATGACAATGATCACACATAGAATTACATTCAGGTGCTTTATTGCCAAAGAATAGTGAAATCGATTCATGGCGACAACTAAAAGTAAATTATTATTATTAATAAAGATTCGCTCTCATGCTTTAAAAATGTTCACAATGTTAATAAGACATCAAACGCAGTTTATAGCAATTTATGTAAAATCTAGATCAGGGTGGTCCAAGGTAGTCGGTTTCCGGGGGCCACAAAAATATTTTTGCAATATTCGCGGGCCACAATAGTGCCAAGAATGGGTAAACAGTGCCATACAAAACAAACACTTTTATTGTGCAAACTTATTGGTCAGTGTTTGCCATTTATCAAGCCAACCTAGGCTAACAGAATCAGCATTTGATTTTTAGTTCTATATGATGCCAAAATTGTTAGCATAATATATTTCCGACCAAAAAGATAAAAAGCCAGTTAACAATTTAGGCTAGCCAAGCACATCATTAAACTTCGCTAGTTGCCTCAGCTAGCCATAACACTAGTCAATTCAGTGACATTAGTGATGTAACAATATGTCAAAATAATTTTCTGGTTAATTTTACGACGAAACAACACCAAATGCGATTTATTGATCTTTCTTCGAATGCGACGTGGGTCACAGGTAATGAGACTGAGGGCCACATGTGGCCCGCGGGCCTGGGTTTGGACCACCCTGATCTAGATATAATCAAAAATATCTAGATTACTACAAAATGTTTTTGGGCTGGGATTGCTTTCTGACAATAAAGTTTCAGCGGAATGCAAGCAACATTTTTAGTGCAACATGCTACAAATGTTTATGTTGATTTACTACAAGCTTGTATCAAAATTATTAGGATTTGAGTGTTAGAAAATGCTTTTCCGAAGATACAAAAATATTCAACAGAAAAGGCACGTTTCAGAGCGCAAGACTATGATTCACCAGGAATCCAGTAGTTTTCCTTTTTATTTGAATGCTAAAGGTAACAGGGATGAAGCAATGTGAAACTTATTTTTAATAGAAAATTTATGAGAAGTAGTAAACAAATCGGAACAACGTGAAAAGTTGCTATACAAGCAACAAATATTTGCTTCATATTAATTTACAGAGCTAGTACATATTATTTTACTTAGTCACAGTCAAGTTTATTTTTTCCATCCAGTAAAAAAATAACATGCCAAGTTTAAAGAAATAATGTTGAATACAAATTTCACTGGGGAAGGGAAGCTGTGCGGAACAGAAGCAGGTTATGAAGCAGCGACACCCAAGGTTCGAATATCTAATTATACTTTTTAGGTTTTTTGATTATCGAAGTACTATTACTGTTATTACACATTCTTTTTTACAATACATTTTATACACCACGGTATAAGAATGCACTGATAAGTGAAGAGATGGTAAAGTTTAGAAAGTTGGAAATTTTCCCAGTTGGACATTAACTATCCAATTCACTACATCCTGGGTACAGGGTATAAGATTTGAACAAAAGATTTTTTAATAAAACTTCAATACCTACATAGTTAAGTCTAACAGTTTAACCACTAAGGCCATTGCCCCAATGCCGTAAAATTCCTTATTCCTAAAAAAAATCATATGTTATCAGTTTAGGCTACATAGAAAAAGACCCTATTATATAGAAGACAAAGACTACTTGTTAACCTTCATTAAACTAGGACAATGGGTGAAATGGAACAAAAATAAAGCAATTGGAGATCTTTCATTGTTCGTCATTCTCTCATCAAAAGAGAAATATTTGCTCTCTTTATTGAGAGAAGGAAGAGTATTCATTTTACGAGTGTATTAACAACAAAGCCTTGTTTGCTTTAGTTTAAGGAAGGATATAGTCAACCAAGCATGGAGCTGAAATAAATGACCAACAAGGTATTGAACATTGATGGTCCACCAGTTAAAATTTGTCAAGAATGAAAAAGGGCTTTTCTCTGAATGTATGGAAATAGTGAAAGATACCATGGTATGCTCGATAAACATATCAAAACAAGAGTGTTTTGTATCATGCGAACATTCTCCATTCTGTTACGTTGAAGAGTTATGATGGGTGAATATAAAGGTATAATCAAGTGGACAAGTGGTAATCCATAGCTCATCAACAAAATGGGAATCATAATTTAAATGATTATTAATATGTTAAAAATTATAGAAAGTGTACTAGTCAGTAGTCAGAAGATGAGCATATGAATTAATATACAATCAGAATATGTTTCGACAGAAAGATGGAAGGTCAGGCAGAAATCAAGCTTACTGTCTTAAAATAATATCATCAAAAATGACGAAACATTGAGGTCAATTCAAAAACATAATATTAAAAGAACGTTCAAAATTGAAAATATGGTTCTGTTCTATCAAACATATTAGCATATTCTTAATATTTTTGGTGTTATTATTTTATTATGTTGAAATGTATTGGATAAATGAATATTAGGCTCGATATAAACTTCATCAACTACTTTAGATAACCACTCTATTGCCTAACTGTGAAACTTGTAAAATACAAAGATTTTGTATGGTACCAATTTGCTTAAGCTTCAGTTAGACTACACTTTACCTTACTTCAACCTTTAATAGCAATACACCCAAAAGCCACATTTTATTAACAAAGGGAAGAGAGAAAAAAAGATTCTGGTAATATCAAATTTTTAAACAAGAATTAGTGTTGGAACCTAGTCAAGGTTTGTGAACAGTTTTTCACATAATAGTATTTATGAAACCGGAAGTGATTTAAACAAATCATTATGATTTGAACAAGATCATTTGTTAGTAATCAGAAAATTTGGGTTGTAATGTTGTCCTCAATACAAAAACGATACTCAAGAGGTCCTAAGCAATGAGAAGCTGAGCAACCAACTAGTTTAGTTTACCTGATTGAATGTGTACTGAATTGGGAACCGCTTAGCAAATGTGAGAAAGAAAAAGAGTGGTAGTAGTAAACATGGTCCATAAATTTCAGTTGATGAAATTTCAAAGAAGAAAACTGGCTACACCAGATCAAAAACTTGATTTGAAATGTCATTGGTTGAATAAGAATAGTAAAAATAAAGCACGAGAAAAAACTAATCCTAGCTAGATTAACTATAAAAAAATTTTATTACAGATTTTAGATTTTCGACAAATTATTAAATATAACATGACATCTTTTGAGAGTATAGTTGGATTTGATCTTGATGACCTTCTCAATGCGGATCCATTCACGGATATATACAGCATTGTATCTTTCAGTATATTTGCAACATTTGTGGCAACTATTCTGATATTGATTGCGGTTGCGTTCTTGTATTCTTTCTGCGAATGCTGTTGTCCATGCTTGACAAGTGAGTTGAATTTTTAAACATATTTTCGCTTTTACTAAATAATAATACAGATAGCAATAACCTTGACTATTTAAAAAATTCATTAAATCATTTTATTGATTTTAAATTTTGCCCTCCATTCTGAACAAGGCTCTGCACATACACTGATACATGAGAAGATATTTTATTTTGTGAAGACTTGGAACTCAGATGCGGCATTGCGTAGAGTTAGACCCTGGGTAACGTAGTTAGCATGAGATTTGAACCAAAGATTTTGACCTGCAATGCCATCACAGGTAAGTCTAACCGTTCAAGCACTACAGCAGGTCATTTTACACCCTATAGCCCAGGGTGTCCCAAACTGGGGTCCATATCGATATGGAAAGAGTCAGATCGATCTTTAATAATAATAACTGATTTCAATCCAAAACCCATCGCGTCTTTTTTTGTTAAGCGTTGCAGATGTATATCCATTGCTGTCAGAAAAGGCGATTAAAATTTTAATGCCTTTTGCATAGGATGGGGGTCCATCAAAACTATGATTCACGAATAGGTGTCCGCGGCCCAAAAAGTTTGGGAAACCCTGCTATAGCCTATATATGACAAGGCACATGACTCACTAGTCTATAAGATCTCACTTGTGGGCTGGTCCAAGTCTCTTTAAAAATTGGAAAGATTTATTATAAAGTCGAATGATAAGACTTCCTTTATTAAAAAACTGCATAAAATTATGAAGCCAGCTCATTATTACACAAGTAAATAAACAATGATATAAATATTGAATCAATTCTTTCTAGCAACATCCAGAAAGTCTAAACCTAAATCACCAAAGATGAAGAAAAACAATAAAGTGGAGCCAGCTGGAAAAGAAAAAGTGGAAATGGAAGATCTTGCCTGGTAGACATATGCTCATAAAAAACTATAGATTTGTTAAGCTTTAACAACTGAAAAATTTAAATCAAGAAAATTTTTTGAAAACACAAAGTTTCATTTCACTTTAAATAGACACATTGATTGTATAATCTACAGTTTACGAGAATCTGACTCTAAATTATCTACCGTACTTCAATATTTCCCTGTTTCTATTTTATAACTTTTCGAGTAATGTACACAATTTTTTGTCAATTTGGTACTTTTCAACCATATATGGTACAGACAATATATAAAATATTTGTATGAATTGTTAAATCTTGCCTCTAATCTTACACTCACACACATTTCATGCATGTAAGCTGTTTATCTTGTCGCGTTCAACTTGCCACGTTTTTCATTATATGCCTTATTTTTTTCATAACTATTCAGATTGATGTAATTCATTGTATTGTATTGGTGTATATTTTAATAACACTTAGTAATAAGACATTCGATTTATTTTATTTCTGAACAGTACCTTACAGTTCATTGGTTTTATTCAGCTTGATAAAAAAATTCGAAAATATCTTGTAAACAAATTGTAGCTTTTTTCATATTGGAGTCCTGTGACTACCATTATTTTATGTGCCTCTGACATGACCTTATCTATATTGTATAATCAAAAACTCATTGTATACTGATATAACTGATGTACCTGGAATTCTACATTGATAGAAACAATGCATTATATTTGTATAGTTGATACATTATTTAGAAAGTTATGGTATGGCTGGTTATTGTGTGTCTTTATATATTTTTCTAGTCCCAAGCCATAAAATATGATAGAATACACAGTAGTGCATTAGTATATGCAAAAGGGAAAATATGATTCACATTAGATTGCAGGTTGCAATCTTCATTTTTTGATAGTTCTTCATAAGGACAAAATTGCCAGATGAAATTTTTCAACCCCCAAAGAAAGTATGTCCACTGTGTGCTGTTTATGCCAGATTATGTTGCATTTCCAAGATTTTCTTCGTACTGTGATTCAAAAATTTTTATATTCCAATCGTTTACATTGAATGACTAATATATGCTTGTCTTATCCTTTTATGTTGTTATTTTGAGCACAATTTAGTGTAGGGAATTTTTGGTCAAATGATTCCTATTATCATTTTTCAAAGTCTAAGTTACCAATCGAATTCCACAATCGTTTTATTTTCAGTTTTCTGAATAAGCCATCTTATTATGCCTTCCACTGTGCTGATTGGATTTATATTATATCTAGAGTTGATTAGATGTTTGTTGCATTTCTTGCCTTACTATACAAATATGAACCTGATAAAACTGAGCATGGAGATGCATGTAGTACACAAGGGCCAAGGATAAATTGTGTCACAGATTCCAAAGTTTGAAAGATTCACATTATTTCTTGAAAATTTTTTCTGTATCAGAATTTTGGGAAAAATAAATTTAGTTTAGTTTTGAAATACTGAAAAAATGATTTTTTTTTTTTTTAATTCGGAAAAAGCACAATTTTTCATGTCCCTTGTTCATTGAATTACAACATTATTGCCAGTTAAAATGAAGGTTTCTGTTTTATGAGTATTTGACAATATTGTTTATATATCCAGATAAATTTGAAAATTAACAAAATGAGTTCTAATATACAACAGCAAGTTGAAGATGTGGTCGGCTTTTCAATTGATGACATTGCCAAAATTGAGCCATTTAAAGACAACTATAGCATAGCCTGGTTCGTGATCTTCATGGCATTCATTGGAACTGTAGCTTTCCTCATGGCATGGGCATTTCTTTATTCATTTTTGGAATGTCTCTGCTGTTGGTGAGTGGTTTTACATATTTCTAACAGCAATGGTAGAAACTTAAAATCAAATCTCAAAATAAGTGAGATTTCCAGTTTGTAGGTGATAGCTGGGCTATAATACAGAGTGACCCCAAAAACAAATTCCACAATTTCTTAATTATAGAAAAATGAAGGGGAGAATTTATTTAATTTATGTAGGATTGCACCCAGAAGTTTCAATTATTTAGGACACTTTGCACAGTTATGTTCTCTCTAAAACAGTGGTTCTCAAACTATTTAAGCCTTTTTAGAATGGGTCAAGTCTCGCGCCCCACCTTAAAATTAACTAGCTAACAAAGCTACAAATAAAAAAATAGTAAGGCGAAAGTATGTTGCGTTCAAAAAACATGTGGATGGACGTAAATACCCAAAATCAAGAAATATAAATATCCAAAACAAGGTGGGCAAGATCAAATCTAACAAATATTTCAATTTACACTGCCCCTCAAAAAATTGTCTACGCTCCCTTGTGGGACGCGACCCACCACTTAAGAACCACTGCTCTAGAATATGTTCCAAAATAACCTGGGTTCGGTTTTGGGGTCACCACGTAATGCCTGAAATGATGTTTTTTTTATAATTCCTTCAATTTAGCTCTTTCAGTCAAATGAAATTGAACAATGCTATATTTCATCACAAATCCTTCATTGTATGAGATTGGTGTACAAAATACATTTTCATTGGGTATCTATGTGATATGATCCAATGAAATATTGATATATTTTGGGGTTAGGCGAATCTTATTATTTTTCAATGCTTCCAACCAAATACCATGTATGGATGCAATAACTTCCTCGATTAACTCAGAAAATCACAGACATACATACATATATTTTTGGAAGCCTTCAATGCCAAAACAAAGTCAAACATATCCCAGCAACAGTTATATTATATGAAAATATTCCGAATTGTTCCCTGATTGCCGTTTAATTCAGGGTAATTCTTAAAATAATACAGTGTCTTAGTTCATTCAAACAAAATGCACTGATCATATTACTAATCAAATCATTATTCATTTTCTTTCAGTTGTGGAAGAAGGAGGAAAAATAAAATCAAAAACGGAGAAGAAGAAATTGAACTAGATAGAAAAAGACATTGACAGATATTGCAGTGTTACCTTAGAAGACAATCAATCACCATGTTTATAATCATAATTCTTGTAGCAATTTTTTAGAATTTAGATTTTTTTTCATTGAATTTAGATATAAATAGATTACCCTACCAATGTCGTTGTATTACAAAATAAAATTAAATTTGACAAAAGGAAGTATTTTGAGAACACGAGTATAAAAACTTTATTGACTACAATTAAACAATAGCATACATACAAGCCCATACAGCCACTGTTTTGAAAAAATAATTATGCATTTCAAATAATTTCTTTTATTCTCGGGAATTGGGATATTTGCAATTATCTTCGTGTTCATGAAAAATAATTTCAAATAAAAATAAAATATAATAAGTTAATGAGGGAAAATATGACAACTTGAAATTAAATTTACAGTATGCCACTTGTCACTATTTCTAACAGAATTGATTTTACTAGTGTACACCAACCTATGTATATAGTACCTATTATTTGAAACAAAACTAGTTTTGTAGATTTACATCATATTTATTGCAATCAATTACTGTCATGATCAACATCATATTTTCTATATTTGTTGTTTAGTACGTTGACAGCATGAGAATGATTATATATGAAATATGACACGTACTAATTTTTGATACTGCTATTTTCAATAAGAGTCTGCTTTTTCTATATATTGAATAAATGAATGAATATAGGAGTCCTATTTTGAATGTATGGATAGATGATTGGCTCTTAATTAGTACAGGATATAGCATATTCTTCATATTTATCAAGTAAGAAAGAAAAAAAACAATAAGACGGTTTAATCAGACTGTGACCACTAACTTAAATCCAGTTAACAGTTCAGGTCTAAAATGTGAATAGTTACCTTATCGAATAGTCTATAAATACTGCATAAAAATGGGTACTCTCGTAGTATGTGTACCAGGTTAGGTTAGGTCATAATTTCATTCCGATTTTCCTTATTTTAGTTCTATTACGAGTTCAGGACTGTTTGTGTTAGCCAAGTGAATATACCCCTGTCCATCGGCTTTAGTCCCTATAAACAACTTGATGAAAAGTAAGCAAACGAAATTAATTACCTTCATAGTGGTACACATACTTCTGAAGCACCTAAAAATGCCAGTGCATTGCATGTTGTTTAGGTATCTATCTACCTTCAGGAATTAAAATAATGTACTTCATGAGACTCCTAAGGTAATTTTTCATCTATACAACTTCAATATATATTATTTATATGAATGTTCCTTATTACTGATTATTGACAAAATAATTACGACAATCGAGTTTAATTTCAGGAGGACACCTCTTCACCCAATGAGAAAACATTTTTAAATGAAAATGGGGGCTCCCGAAGTATGCGAACCAAGATGGCGGACATCGGAATGTAATAAGTGTACTAGGTTAGGGTTAGGCCATAATTTTAGGTATAAATACTACAGAAGGCTCTTGGCTAGTCTTCAAACTGATAATAGGACTAAAATAAGGAAAATTGGAAAAAAAATATCGCATAACCCTAACCTGTTACGTTCCGATGTCCGCCATCTTGGTTCGCATACTTCGGGAGCACCTGAAAATGATTATTTCTAAATATGCCAGATGTTCTAAACGTAATCTGGTATCTATTTAATACAATACGGTGCCATGTGTCGATGCGTGCAAAATAAAAGATGAAAAAATAACACAGAATAATGAAATATAAACTACAGTAAACATATTACTGGAAATAATACTCATCGGTGAAATTGAAAAACCGAATCATGTGTAAAAGGTAACCACAACAATCTGCATTTAATCAAAACCACCCCAATATTAATCATAAGTTGAAGTACTTGAAACTAATTCTTGTTGTCATAGTGTGCTGGATCTAGGCCATTAAATGTTCTATACTTCCAATGAGTACGTAAGCTCGTAGTGGTGAGTGCATTGGTGATTATGAAAACACTTCTTGTTGTTTTAGCCTCACGGCACAAAGGTATTTAATCCTACATGTACGTAAAAAACTTCAGACTTCAAATTCGTTAGCTTCTGATTTTTATCAATCAATTATAGGTATTCGGATACTTTTGATGGTAATTTCTAATGTTATTGTGTAGGATT